TGGTGAATGCCTGTGATCCCAGTACTCTGAGAGTCTAGGACAGGAAGATTGCAAATTTCAGCCTAACTTAGGCAACTTAGAGATACCTGTCTCAATATTTTTAACAAAAGAATTCATGGTGGGGGTGGGTGGGTGGGTAAATTCAATCTCAGTCAAAAAAAACCAAACAAATAAGACAAAACAACAAAAATGCAGTTGTCTTTTATGTATATTAACATTACTAGTAATCTTGCTAAGTTAATCTATTCTAATACTTGTAAATACAGATTCTGTGTATATCACATGAACTGTTTTTAAAATATATCATTTAATTAGGTTCTTAGTAAGAAATTTAGAACACTAATTTATAAGGATAAATTCAATTTGTCATAGCAAAAACGGATCATAGGAGCTGAGGAGCAGCTTTGATTTTTGGTAAAATCTGTGAGTCTACCACCTTCTGATCCATCCTGCACTTTCTCTTTTTTTTGGTGACGAAGATCTCACCCTCCTGGTGTCTGGGTTTGCACAGCTTCTTCTTAAAATAAGCATCAGTGAGGTGTTTGGGGATTTTCACTGTGCTGATATCAACTTTTGTGGAGACAAAAATTGATATCAGCACAGTGGACAAATTGGTGTGGACAAATTCCTGGTGTGTTCTTCGTAGAGGAACACGACTAAGGCTAAGAGGCCCAGTCACAAGTAGCAAGCCACTGGCCAGCTGCCACAGGAATACCACTCTCTTGCCTCTGTGATGCCTGGTGAGGATGATCTAGATGGTGCTGGGAGTGATGCTGGCTCGAAGTTTTCTCATATACTGACTGAAGGGTTTCTTACTGTGGCTTAACAGCCTTCAGGGCACTCTTCAGGAGGGTAGTATCTAGGCACTTTTCAAAGCTTAACCACCGACTGGTTCTGTGATGGTAGCAAGAACCTTCTCCTTTTTCTTCTCAATCTTCAATTTAGCAGCTGCATATTTTTTCTTCTAGAAAGCCTTTCTGGAATACACAGCAGATCAGGAATACCAGTCAGTTCCTCTAACCAGGATAGGATTTCGGCTGCCCCTTCCTGGACTTTTTTGCATTCACCTTACTCTTTTTACCAGTGCCACTGGCAGCAGCCTTCCTGGCTTCAGGTTTTTTTTCTTTAGTATGTGGCTTCTCAGTTTTTTCACCCGCCATCTTGCATGATGGGAAAGGGCACATGAACTGTTAATAATGACAAATTTATTTTTTCCTTTCCAATGTTTTCCTTGTTTCTTACTACATTCATTTAAACATATGCTATATCATTGAATATATATGATAATGAATTTTCTTCTCCTAGTATTAATTTGAAACTTGGGAAAAGAATTCCATGTATCATTATTATAGTATTACCAATATTGTGTAGAAGCTTTGTATGTAAAGAAAGTTGCTTCTAGATTTTTCTGAGTATTTTTATTTCAATTTTTAATTGACTTTTAATAACAATTGAGTTGATTCAGATAGTCTTTATCATTTTTTTGCTAATGTAGTCAATCATATTTTTAAAAATTAAACCAATATCAAATTCCTAGAATAAATCCATTTGGCCATACATATTACCTTTCTTACATAGCACTAATTTTTGCTTTACAAGTATATTGTATTGTTATAACTTTTTGTGTCTATGTTTCTCAAATATTGAATTATGGTTCTGCTTTATTCTTTTGATGTTAGGGTTATGATAGTTTAGTAAACTAATTTTGAAGTGTCCTACCTTTTCTAAACCTTGAAAGTTTTTTTTGGCAGAACCAGGGATTGAACTCAGGTCCTTGCGCTTGCCAGGGAAGTGCTTATTCCACTGAGTCATCTTCCCAGCCCCTAAGCCTTGAATTTTTGCATAATATTGCTACTATTTCTTTGTTTCATCAATATCTAATTTCCTATTGAGAGCACCTAGTGAATTTTCCACTTTCTATACTTTTCAGTACTATAATTTCTGTTTGAGAACTTTGGTGGGGTTTCCTAGTTACTTGTCTACTTTCTAAAGTGTTCATTTTCTGTGTGTGTGGTGTGCAATTCTGTGTTGTTATCAGCCACTAGTTACTTATTATTTCTTACAGTTGAGTTGTTCTTTTCAGCATTTTCTTAGCTTCTTCAGTCAACTATGTTCCCCACAGCATGCTCTCTTGAAGGGAGAAAACCTGACCATTGTCCATGTTTGGCCACTTTAAGAGTGTACAATAGGAGGTCCTGTTATCCCTCCAGACTCTTCTGAGGCAGGCTCATGCTAATGTACCACCTCACACTTGACCCCCATAATCCTCTACTCTTCTTGGTGCTTTACAATGGAGTTTTTAGATCACTTCAGAAACATCATCTAGCACCCACTCCCAGAATATCTAGATATTTCCCATTCCTTAGTACATAATCTAACAGGCAAACATCCATTCCAGGAAGGCTTGGAGAAAATTTTGAAGTAGACATCTGTAGCAATGCTTCCCCTAGAACAGGGATACCAGGTCTATGAAGTGGCTCAATTCTGTAAACTGGGAAGTGGCCATTGCAGATTCCTCTTCACTCAAAACATTGATCAGTGCTCAGCCTAGTAGTTTATAGTGGTGTTTGCCTTTACCTCGTCTCTGAGGGATAACAGCTACCACCTGACTTTTACCATTTCAGGATTCCATTATTCTCAGGGAGGTCAGGGAAGCCAGGTTTATGTCATCACCATTTACCATTGCTTTTTTTTTTTTTTTTTTTTTTGCAGTACCAGGGATTGAACTCGACCCTTTCACTTGCTAGGGAAGTGCTTATTCCACTGAGCCATCTCCCCAGCCCTTACCATTGCTGTTAGTGCTCCTGTTACATATCACATAATGTTTTTTCTAAGTCATATCAGAAGTTTTCACATAATATATTCATTCCCCCAGTCTTATCATTTTTTTCCTCTATGGAGAAGCTCTGCATTTTAGCATCATTACAGAGGCTATTACAGAATCTGAGCCTTTACTCATCAGGTATCAGCTTTGCCCTCTATCATAGTTGCCTTAGGACTGCAAGAAAGAAAGAAATACCTTGAAAACTGCCAAGGAGGTCTTCTGGCTACCCAAATGATTTTAATTATGTATTCATAATTTATTATTTTTCCCCATTTGCTCTTTATCTGGAGACTCACATGGATATAAATGACAATTGTACTTCTTATAACTGTAGTTGTCTTGCAACTTAATATCACAGCCATTTGATCTCTTACCTTCATCTGAATTTCATCCTGTGCTACCACTGATAAATTAAGAAATTAAGATGCTATTTTCTTTTTTAAAAAATATATTTAGTACGGGGTCTCACTAAACAGATTGAACTTGTAGTGATCCTCCTATTTTCAGCCGCCCAAGTACTGGAATTACAGGTGCGCACCACCACACCTGTCTCAATCACCATCTCAGCATAACCTGGGTATGGGGCTGGCACGACATGCCAGGGATCAAACCCAGGTCTCTGCCACTCCCAAGCAGGTGCTTTAATCCTCTGAGCTATATGGCCAGAACTAGGATGCTATTTTATCCCACACATTTTTTCTGTCTTATCACTGCTGTATCTCTTGAATATATGAACAATTCGCATCCTACATTTTATATTGAGAATCTATTTCTTTAGGTTATTTCTGCTATGATTACTGTACCTGAAACTCAGCAGAAAACAGATACTATAGTCAGTTAGAAGGAGAAGTTAATAAAGTAATGATTTACAAAGCTTTGGTCAAGGTACAAGCAATTTGTGATGGCTTAATATGGAAACCCTAGAGCTTGTGACAACAGCATAACATCCTTGAGCTTAAAAAGAGAAATGAAAAGAAAGATCATCAGAGCACAGAAGAAAAGTATCTAAGTGCCAGCTTGAGGAATTCTGTGTTCTTTGGTAAGGAGGAATAGCCATCCATAGACTACTCGGTGAAGAAGCAAAACTCTTCTGTCCCTTAAACCTCCTTTTAGGGCTCCCAAGTGACAGGGCCCAACCAGGACAGTAAAGGATTTTGATACAGCCAGTATTCCTAAGCATCCTGATACACCAGTTCTATAAAGAGTGCTGTGTTTTGTTTTGTTTTAATATGGTTTGCCCCCAAATTTTCATCTGCTAGAATTTGGCCCTCGATGTGACGGGTTGCATTAAGCTGATGGAACATTTAAGAGGCAGGGTGTAATGAAAGGCAGTTACTTTGTGGGCTCCACTCTCATGATTGCTGTACTGCTATCTCACACAGTGGGTTGGACTTCATGGGACTAGATGGCTTGCTGAAGGATGTGCTGTTGTAAGTGAGCCTGGCAGCTCCATAGAAATCATCCTTTACACAGCTCCCAGCATTGTGGTAGGACACCGCCATGAAGCCCTCACCAGATGCCATCAGCATGCTATTGAGTTTCCAGAACCATGAGCTAAATAAGCTTACTTTCAGTATGAAGTACTGAAGTACTTAGTCATTGTATTATAGTAACACACCATAAAAAAATTAAGGCAGAATTTGAAGTATGCTTGTGTTCTGAATTTTGTTGGAATTTAAGGAAAAGGAAAATATTATCATCAAATAAGTATTTCTCAAACAAAAACTAAGTTCCTGATCAGCACTGAAAAGTCTACCTTCTTTAATTTACATTTTCTCTAGGAGGAAAGTGATTATTAGAAGTGCTTTAGCTATCATGGAGTTCATGTAAATGATTCATAAATATTGTACTGCTTATTTCTGTGCTGTTCCCAAAGTAACACATATCTACGTTTGTTTATAATCAAGAATTTTATTAAATATTTTATTAACTAATCTACATACATATATTTAAAATTCAATATAATAATAAATACTTTCCAATAAATAATTTAAATGAAACCATTGTAGAGCCCCTAGGGCTTACAAAAAGAATCTCAAAAGATCCATATTTATGATCTGAAGACTAAGAATAATAGTCACAAAAGGTAGCAAACCATATATTCAAAAATAAATATAAAATTTAAATATTTAAATAAATAGAAAAACATCTGTCTTAAGTGGGAGGCACATGATAATCAAGTCAGTCTTGAACTGATTTTCTGGCAAAAGGTAATCCATCTCTTCAAAAATTCAATAATGTCTACTCCTTCATCATCTTCTTCACACACAAATGCTGGTTCAGATTCCTATAAAAGAAAATTTCACAGTTTTAAAGTTTGTAGTAATTTTCCACATACACTTATTCTCAACCCATCTTACAGAATGCTGATTTTTATGTGTGTTAGATATATTAATCATTCACATTTTCTTGAAATTATCAAATTACTATGCCAAAATTATATATTTATTATAATACCAACTGAGAGCAACATACAAGTTGGGATTTTCTCATTTGTTAATTCTCTTGTCAATGAGTACAAGTTTCATTTTGTGAATTGGACACAAATAAGAATCTGAAAGAAAGCAGCTCTAGACAAATATTTTATTAAATATTGTATGCAAAAAGTTGCCTCGCCTCTTTCTGGGCCTGCATCTACATCCATATCTGTATCAATACAGGTTATGTATATGAAGTAATATGTACTCTTTTTTTCTAGACCCTAATTAACAAACTGCTACTATTTGATTTATAGGAACCTATTTATTTATTTATTATGCATTTAGTACAGGGTCTACAGGATCTCACTACACAGATCACTCATAGTGATCCTCCTGTTTTCAGCCTCCCAAGTGCTGGGATTACAGGCGCATGCCACCACACCCAGTCTCAATCACTATCACAGCATGTCCAGGAATGGGGCCAGCACCACATGCCAGGAATCAAGCCCTGGCCACTGCACTCAGGCACTTTTGTCTGCTGAGCTATTGGGCTGACCCTATATGAACCTATTTATATTTACGTAAATTAGAACAAGCTTCTGTTTGGGGGAAGTTTATGTGAAGGACATCATCATAAATAGACATATCACGCCAATCCACCCTAGCATCAATACAGATAGGTTTCCCAACTTTAAAAGACTAAGCATTAGAAATTTTGTTCTGTGGGTCAGGGAAATAGCTCAGTAGAATAAGTACTTGCCAGGCAAGCGCAAGGTCTGAGTTTAATCCCCGGTACCAAAAAAAGAAAAAGAAAGAAAGAAAAGAAAAGAAAAGAAAAGAAAAGAAAAGAAAAGAAAAGAAAAGAAAAGAAAAGAAATTTGTTCTGTAGATCTGTAGATTAATCTTATAGAAATTAACTTCTGCTGAAAGGAGCTATGTCAATTCTGCCTCTAGCTGAAAAGGAAATATTTCAATATACATGGGATGGCTGTTTCAAATTTGAAATAAGTCCTTGCAAGTCATGCAATGTAAATGATTCCTTTAAAAAGCATTTCCATGAAAAGAGCTCTTACAGTGTGATACACTCATATACACATGTGAACATTGTAATCTCTTTGTAGCTTATTTATTCCATTTATGTATTTGGTACAGGGTCTCACTAGGCAGCGCAGACTCAAAATAATCCTCTTATTTTCAGGCTCCTCAGTGCTGGCATTACAGGCGTGCACCACCATACCAGGACTCGGGCTGACCAGTTTAGCGCACCTAGGGGTGGGGGTGCAATGCTGCATGCAGTACCAGGATCAAATCCCAGTCCCTACACTTTCTTTCCAAAGGCCCTTAGTCCACTGAGCCATCTCACCGGCCCTTGTAACATTTAAATTTGAAAGGGTATGGGGCTTTTGAAACATGTTTTCTTATTTTTATCTAATTTTTTAGTTGGTTCAATCTCTGGTACCGCATAAAAAATAAATAAATAAATAAATTCACTTTCCTAATTTTTTTACTTTGTATTATTATATTAGAATAAGTTTTCTGATGTTACTGAGTAAATTTTAGAGAAAACTGCTCAACAGGGTCTATAGGGCTGACTGTAGACCCTGTATTTATGTATTCCAAATACAGAAATGGAATAAATAAATATAACTGCTACAACTTTTCACAGATAATGAACCTAGTCTGTCAAAGTCAAGATGACACTGATCTCAATGTATCTTTAAAGAATTTAAATTGAAACAGTCCACTAATAAACTGACTCATATTTGGAAACAGCTAGAGTTGCATACTTTTAGAAACTTGTTTCTACTATTTGGTTAAAATTGTGCTATTTATTTATACACCTATTAACTCTTGAATTTTGCACTTGGCAATTGAATGACAAAAGAAAACTATGAATTGTATCATCTCACATTGCAAATGATTCAGGGTCATGGTGGACTCTAAATGTCAGCTGATTAAGTACATGACTGCTTCCACTAATACCTAAAATGTTCCACCACCTCAAAATGCAGTATTCTCTCCTCCACCTCACTTTCTTCCCACCTCCAGGGCAGCAAATAAAAGTAAGTTTTTACCTTTAGGTTCAGAACTGTTATATTGATGTTACTGACGAACACCTTTGTATCTACCCAGGGTAAGCTTTTGCGTTCAGCTAAATTTAGCACTTCCTCCAGGGGTTTGAGTTCTTCTTCCAGGCACTGAAGATGTTTCAGCTCTGAGACCTAGTATAATAAGAAAATTAATAATCAGCTTTGCTTACTCTATACTAAACATCAGAATCAGAAGTTAATGTACAATTTATTTTATTAAGGGTAGTAGTATATAGTTTTTACCAAAATATCTCTGCTCATATTATTGCTGTAAAAGTGGACCAATGCAGTTTAAATTATAAAGCTAGAAAAACAAGAAGTTCAAAATCTAAGATTGTTAGTCAAGAACTGATGAGTCATTTGCTTCAGTGAAGTTAGGCTTTGTAAAAAGTCAACATTTCTGTGTCCAAATGCCAATCTCAGATGTAGACTAATTTCCAGACTGCACAGACCTCATTAGAACAAGAGCTATACAATGTGTGTAAGTATAGGAATCATTCTATCATTCTAATATTTAATAATCTGAGTTGAGAATCACAGAATATTACAGGATAGAAGGAGCCTTGAATACCATCTGTCATGGTCCTAAAATGTTATAGATTAGATTAGATTATTCTAACCAGGAAGTAATGAGTCTTAATTGCCTGAAGCAAGACATATGTAATTGCATGTTAAAGTTTTGCTTTTCTGCAATTGCTGTATCATTTTTTAAATTATGTATTATTTGTCTCAACCAAATTAAAAGTCATAATAGTTGGTCAGGATTTTTGGACAGGTCTCCAAAGGGAGGGGACAGAGAGAGAGAGAGAGAGAGAGAGAGAGAGAGAGAGAGAGAGAGAGAGAGAG